AAAATGTAACTCTTAATTAACAAATGCGGAACCAAAAACTAAAGTAAAAATATCATTGCAATCAAAACTTTAAGCAACTACTGACTCTATCCATTGTTGATCGATTAAGACTTTTGACATAAGAATGCTAACAAAGATAATGTAAAGTTTTTTGTGTTCTCAAGAAAAACCAAAAAGTTCCATCTCTCATCCTATAACGTTAATAATTTAATTTTAAAATATATTAGTATAGTTTTAATTAATGGTAAAAAAATATTAATTATAAAACATAAATGGGACGGGCGAGCCTGTCCATATTTATTTTTACATTGCCCATATTCGTCCGTTAACTTTAACTAACAAACCCAAACCCATCCATTTTTTCGATAATGGTTGTCCAAGCCCGTATTTCTAGTGGGCTGGATGGACAAGGTCTAACGGGTCATCCTACCCATGAACAACTCTAGTCTACTTATAATTTATTTTTCATCATCAACCAATTGACACAACTTATTCATACTTTTTTTTAAAACTTATTTATATTACATTCAATTAATTTTCTCAATTCGCATATATATATATATATATACATATATATATATATGTGTGTACATATATATATATATATATATACATGTGTGTATACACATATACATATACATAAACACACACACACACACATATATATATATATATATGTGTGTGCGTGTGTGTTCACACAGTCACTAAACATATATACACAACAATTATATAGAGATGGAGATAGATTGAAAATATATGTATATGAAAGAATGTATGTGATGGTGTAATTGTCTAATGTATATATTAACACAGATTCAATAGTCATACTAAATCCAAGAAATAAAAGGATATCGGGTTCATTAAGTTCTTCGGGCTGGGTTAGGTTCAAATAATAGTAACCCAATATCAACTCAATACCTATAATTTGAAGATTTTACAACTCGATTAGACTTCAAGTTGCTTCGGGTTAAGTTATTTCGCGTTGGGTTTGGTCGATCAGGTCGGTTGGACTTTTGAGCACCCCTAACTGATATATGAACACCATGAAACTGATTCATGAACCCCATGAAATTGATAAATTAAACAATAAAACTGATTATGAACCCCATGAAACTGATACAATAAAACAATTAAACTAATTAATAAAAAATAGGAAGATATTAAAATTACAAATATACTTGTAAATTGAAATATAATTTAATTTCTACTTTGACATTTTTATTTTCCATTCATTAATTTGTGTTACATTGATGAGTAAGCTATGTTTTGTGTTTTNAAGATGTACTATATAACATTTGAGATATCATATATTGTATATATATTTGAGAGGCGGTTGGGACTTAGTAAGCCAGCCCAACCGAAAGCCAACCAATTAGGTTTTTTAATTAAAGTAATTATATATATAATTTAATTTAATTATAAAAATATAAACAGATTAGATGGACTCGTTCAAAAAAAATCCGTTGTCTGGGTCTGTTCATTAATTTGAACGGTCCAAGTCTGACCCATCTAAGCTTTTTTAAGAATGATTATTCAAGCCCACTTTTGTACAGATGGAAAAGATCTATGACCTGTAAAATCTATGAACAACTCTAGTTCTAATAAACTTTCAASTCTTGAAAGTTACATTGTATACCAACAAATCTCGTGAAGTCGTATGATACCTTTGTTTATATTTTTTTTTATTAACCACAAGAGTGGTGMCTGATTGGTTTSAKCTTGACTCCAAATGTCAAAAGTACCTGAAGGTCCCAGGTTCAAATCCAAGAAGGAATAAAAATCMTCTTGTGGYCACGGAGGTTCAAATGCGGTGAYTCCRAGCTATCTGCRAAGCAGGTGGTCGTCCTGRGATTAGTCGGCTCGCATAGCAGGTTGGATATCCAGGTTAATAAAAAAAAACTAATAGCCTTTATTTATAAACGTATATGTATTTCTTAACAYGTGTTAAGTTATGTGTCATTTTTAAGGATAAAATCACTTTAAATGTGTTTAATGCATATCCAATACCACATTAATTGCCAAATTTATGTCATCTTTGTGCATATGTAGGCCATATGACAGGTCTTTTAAATGATTAAAATGTCATTTAATAAATAGAAAACGACCCTTATATCTATTTTTATTTATTAAATTCACTCGTTTCTAATTTACGTTGCTATTTTAATGACAACATGTCAGATACRTTGTTTTGTTATGTGTATCATATTTAAACTGTCATATTGGATATTAGATATRGCCAAAAACCGRTCTCGGCCGAGCCCAAATCARTCTTGGGTTGGGCCGGGCTCAAATCGGTTCCGGGCTAAAACAATAACAATCCGGACCGATACCGGTCCATACCCGCCGAAAATAGTAAGGCCTGGTTAGGGGTACTTGTAACCGGTTAGGGTAACCGGTCCCAGGCCGGGTCCAAATAGACATTTTTTATATATATATATTTTAAATTTATAACCTTTTAACATTATTTTAATGTTATTCTAGTACACTTTAAAATATGTAATTGAGTCAATCAAATACACTAAAAGAATACGTTTTATGGTAGT